TTCACAGGGTTTGTGTAGTTAAAAATTTGTAGGGCTGCCAATTGGTGATACATCAGTTTAAGCACACAAAATTGTAAGCTTGACAACTTGCCTCGGGTAAAACTTACAAGTACTGACAAGCAATGGGTTATGTAACGTAAAGTTATTTGCTCAACGGAATTTGTTCATCTTCTATAGCAAGCTGACTTGGCGTCGGCGTGCACTGCAAATGTTTTGGTTTCAGAAGCTCTATGAACTGGTTTTTCCAATAAGAGACGAGACAAGTTCATGAGGTACTTGAGGTGACTGTACTTGAGACATCATCACATTACTTACAAATTGTGTACTGCGTTATTACGTGGAATCCTATTCAAGTGACAGTCAGGGGTAGCTGTAAGGGTTCTTGTAACGTCTCCATCCTCAAGGGGGAACGAAGAAATTGCCTAGAGCGGGATGTGAACCCGAAACTAAAGGGTCGGACAGCTCAGTTGGTACAGGGCGCCGGCACGTTGTCCCAGCTGCTGTAAGTTCAAATTCTCCTCCAGTCAATTACTTTGTTCGTCTTTGTACTTAGCTAGTGTCCATGGTTTATTTGACCTCATAAAGCAAACATCGCAGTCGAGTTTGTTGCATTTCATCGGACGAAGCATTCTAACGGAATCCTAAGCATTTTATGGCACCGCCACACCTCTTGGATGAAAGACTATGGTCTTCTAACGATAGGTTTGTATCATACAATTCTTAAGAAGCAAGACTGTATACAGTCTTGCACTTATCAGGCGCGAAGTCACGATTTTGTTTGACTGTTCCAAAACAGAATTTGACCCTTTTAAACCAATTTTCACAGTGCAGATTTTGCTTTATCGGTGTCCACCTTTTGCCTTTGAAATCTCCATCCCATTGCAGTCCACTTTTATGCACCCCAGCAACGCTATTGCACTTACGACTTAGCTAGTATTTTACACATTAATGTAGTCATCACTCATTACGGTGCACAGACAATTTGATGAAACTGTGAAAAGTTAAGTTTTCTTGAGACCAAAAAGTAGTCAAAGTTTTTACTGAACTACGATTGCATTGGAAGTTTTTCATTTTAGTAGGATTTGCAACCCACTTAATCAAGGCCGGTTCATACTTCGCCAAGGTTTAAATATCTTCGGGAGTTAGAAAATTTAAATTGCTTCCTGTATACAGAACACCGAAGCTTAATGCTACAGAGATCTGGTCCTGATACCATAGTCGTGTTCACTTCCAGTCTTTGAATTGTGGGCACAGCCTTTGCCTGGAATTCGTCCTCCAAAACGCTTTCTCTACACAGGAATGTACACCGCATCCTTTCCTGTACTGAGTCAAGACCAGGACCTACATTATGGGCCCAGTGGGACTAGGATTTAGGCTTGAGGTATGCTTGGACCAGTCTTATCACTGCAGATGCTGCTTATGATATTGACACCTCTTGGGACGAGACTCATAGGCGTCTGAGTATGTGGTTTGTGTCATGTATTACTTCCCTGTCAAATATAACAACATGTCTTCTTATTAACTTCGAACTCTTCAACTTTATGGTTATAAATAATACTTTAACCAGTCGTTCTTACATGCTTCATTTATTTTTTTTTTCTCAAATGCTCTTTCATTTCAAAGTTCCAGTGTTCGGTCTACACTCAAAGAACCCACAAAGGTCCCTTAGAAAAGTTAAACCACGACATCTAAAAATTTGAACCGGCGACGTTTGAAGTCGTTGGAGTAAGACGCTACTACGACTCTTAGCAACGGATGTGCCCTCGCTTGTCCGCGCCACACTTACAGGCAGGGCGCATGGACGGGCTGATTTCGCGGCTACAAAGCTTTAAATGTTTAAGTCCTCACATGGATAAAACTTATTCGAACGACGACAAGCGCCAACATTTCCATGTGCTCCATGACACGTAGGCACAAAATATAGTTTCATCGAATTAAGTTAAGCTAACTTGTCTGCAAGTGTTGACAACCTTGGTTTTCTTTACAAATTAATGAAAGGCATAAGTTCCCCTTTGCGCCTTGCAAGGGTGACATGACAGGCAAACGGCAGCACGCTCAAGTCCCGGCCCGCCCTCTGCCTGTTTCGCCCTTATTTCCCGTGCTGCGAGAATTTTTTCTAAAATTATATAAAATTTGAATTACCTTTTTGTATGAATATATTAACACACTGGGACGTTTGGCCCGGTAGATTAAAGGTCTATGACTCCCGATCAAAAAGCCGCGGGTTTGAATCTAGCAGCTAGAGGCATATATGTTGTGACCTGAGGAAAGTCACTTTACTTCTATTGCGTCTCTCGAGTGTCGACCCATGGCGTCTGTGTGAGCAGAGACGGTGTTTGTCTGATAGGTGCAACCGAAGTAATATTATCAAGCTGTAGATTTTCATGGAGCTGAAATATGGATTAGGCCTAAGGAATGTTTGTAAGTTCAGTGAAGTGCCTAAAGTACCGGTACAAGTCATGTAGCAGAACTGGTGGATAGGCCTATGTGCAGTTTTTCTCATGGTTTTCATATATTTAACGCGAACATTTTTGCACTGTTTCCTGAAGTCTATTGAAACTGAGAGGTAAATAGTAAAATGACGTTAAAAATGTTTTATCTAACGTTTTGCGTTCAAATATTGATCACGTGAATTGACTCGAGCTAAATGCTTCACTCGAGTCGACTCGACTATTTTGACTAATAAATGACTCGACTCGACTCGAGTCACCAAGTTACAATGACTCTACTTGACTAGATGTTCACGTCACCACATGATAGCTTGATGCATGAGGAACTTGACAGACAAGCGGTGAAGTTTGGTCTGTCACTTGTTCGTTGTACGCTGTGGATGCGTCAAGTTTCTTGGCAGTTTCCTGAGTCATCCTTTTGTGACTGACGACCTTTAGTCCAGAGCAGAGCAGTTGTTGCCAAGAGACGCAACCACTGCTAACTCTGTATGGTCCCATCCCCCCCCCAAAAAAAAGAATCCATGACTTAAATACCATCTTATAACAAAATAAACATTCGCAATCCTTTCCCTCGACTTATCGCTACGGTTATCCCAGTTTACACATCTATCGATTGTCGTATGCACATTAGGTACCATTGACTGCATTTTCTTTCCGACCTCGCTCAGACCCAAGCGACTTAGAGCCAAACTTGGAGGGCATGATGTACTCTGTCTTAGAGACATGTCATCGGTAAATAGGCTTTACGTCGGAAATTACCTTAATGGGTGATCGCTATTGTGATTTCCTTGAGCGTATACTCTGCGGTTGCGAGGCACGAGGGCCCATTTGAGATTAAACGATTAGTGACGGAAAGTTAGGGCGTTGGCTCAGTCTGAAAGAATGAAAAGCTGTGATATATTATGCCTGGTTACATTTTCAGGTTTGTGAGAAGTTTGTTGAGGTTCTTAGGGATGGCAAATGCCAACAGGTTTAGCTTTTGAAAAAGAAAGCGGGTGGTCTTTTTAATTTGATTTATGCGTAGGAACAGTTCTAAAATGCCAGCAACGTGTTGTGCGGTTGTCAGAAAGAGCCTGGCGCTGTACAGTCATGACATTTCACTTGTCTGCTTTGTACAGAGGAAAACACATGACATGTTGACAGGGATATCAAAGTGAATCATGGATGAAGGGAAATGATGTGACGCTACTTCATCTGTTTTCAAAAGAATGTCACTGGCGACGAAGTTGAAAATGATTCAGTGAGGGCCGGTATCTTGCATATAATTATGCCAACCTCTGTTTGCCAATACCGATTTTTGTCCCCAGGTCTGTATTTCATTTCGATTACCATCGCATTAACGTTGTTCATTGCGAACACATTTTCCACATTATTTGTTTTTCTTGGCTGTACTGCGACGCGCGCCCTGAGACATCCTTCCGTGGCGTCTGCAGGCATGAACATGACTAGTGCGTGCCACAGCCACGTTGTCGTGTGTGACCGGCATCGCTTGAGATACGGCCTGAAGCAGAGGTTGTTAAATGCAGGGTAGGAGAAACTTAGTCAGTGCTGCTGGGCCCATGGGGAGGAAATTACGAACACTTGGTATACCATCCACTCACGCCCGCCAAGGGACGCTCTCCTTCGATATTGCTCCACTCGTGTCTGTTCAATGTTGTCACGCAAAATAGCAGCCTAACAGAAAGTGATGATGGCGCATTTTTCCAATCCATTTTCTTTCTTTTTTGAGATAATGTTGTACGGAAATTAATAACATGTGTTTGGGACGAACAGTGAGAATTGGCCGTCAGTCAAAAAGTCGTGAGCCACACCTTCTGGGATGATGGCAAGTGTTGTTTTCAATTGTCTTGATGGTTAAGAGATGGCTTTGCGGGGATGGGCATGACTGTACTCTCATAGTTACCGGCTGACTTGTCATTGTACTCTAATGCAAAAATACATTGACATGTAGGACTGAAGCAAATGCTGCAGTTGCTTTTTTGTTGTCCCATTTTTCTGAAGGAAAGTTTGGTGGCAATAATTATTTAATCATGTTGACAATAAATTTGGGGGTAGGCAACTGAGCACTAATCACGATATAGGCCCTATACAAAGGGGAGAACAATATCCGCGTGCATGCCGGCGTTCAGCCAACATAAGCACCTATACCCATGAGTAGTCTCTCTAAAACACGCATAACAAAATTGTATAAACAAAAACCGTTATCAGTATTGCCAGAGCCATGTAACACCTCACTGTCATCAGCCACTATTTATTTGTTAATTGTATTATAGGCCAAATGAAGAGTGTTACGGTCGAACATACGCCGCTGTGTTGTGGTTCGTGATGTGGTGCTCTGGATTCCCGAGGACAACACCAAATTCCCCGTTCAAGTCTCATTTTTATGTAACCCCTGGCCACTTTTAGGATGCAATGCACGTGTTATTTACTACATGGGGGTTGGGATTTGTCGATTGTACAATTTAACTTAAACGTGATTCATCCATTTCAAAGGTGGGCCACATGAATCACCCAATTTTGGCAATAATTTATTTCTGTTTTAAATCTCAGGCCCCGATGTTGTGATGGATGGGAGCTAATGCATAGTAGATGCGTGCCAGGTGAGACTCACTGGAGATTGCTGTGTAGAAAAAGATAAGGGGTTTGTTCTGTTTGAGAATGAAAAGAGTATGTTACTCTTTGTAACCAATAGCCATACAAGTTGATTGACTCTGGACAAGAGTGTAGGCCTATGGCGCCCATGTAGCAGCAGGCATAGCAGGGTATTTAACTTCTTCGAAACGAAGTTTGTATGCCATTGCACTCACGAGTTTTATATTTACGATGGACACATCAAAGTTGTTATCCTTATCTCGACTTTCAGGATTTTCAACATGCTGTTGAGAAAAAGTCACACAAACGATTAAAAACTTGTGATGTAGATAGGAAATCCTCCAAAGTCATTAAGTTCACTGTGGCCTATCCGTGTTGGGGTCCCAGGGACAGAATATTTTGCTGAAAACGAATCTACATTTTGTTTCACCCGTAAACGAAATGTCCCTCTCAAGAGATATGATGGTACCGTTTTGAAAGTGTCAGCACTTTCAATTTCTTAAACAAGGGGGGGGGGCAACTTACCCCGCCCCTTTACAGCTGGATATGCCACTGAAAGTTCGCCTTATATAGGCATACTGAGACAGGAATTGGCGTTGTTATGAAGGCCAGGTGGTGTTTTTTGTTTTGTTTTGTTCTTCTTGTTGTTGTTGTTTTGCATTTTTAGCAGTTGGCTAATATCCGCTGTTTCGGATGGTCTGTCATTGACAAAATACGAATATGAAATGCTACAGTAAAATTTCTAGCCTTATAAAGGTTTTTAATGATTCTCTTCACCCCGGCTCAAAGCTGCAATAATCATAGTCTTCCAAAATTAACTTTGAACTGTCCCTTGGGGGTATGGTCCCGGTTGCCCCTCTCTCCCGATTCAGGTGTCCTTTGTATATACTTGGCAAAGTATTGATTAGGCCTCTATTATCTGAAGTGTGCCGTGCAATTTTTGTAGTAGGCTGCAGACGATTTCATTCTTGAAACATTTGTTTAGGGTTTAGGCCTACACATCACGTTTGTTTCAAATGGTTTCTTTCATCTCTTCTCTTTTTCTCAGTATGTCCACATGGCTACTCAAGAAACCGTTTAACAGGGTGCTGGAAGCTGGTCTCGTCAGATTCGTCTTGGACGGAATCACGCAAGACGTGCCAGAGAGATAACCGATCGGATCTCGCAATCGTCGATTCCATTGAGGAATTTGATCTTTTAATTTCATTGGGTCGCAATTGGCAGATCAGCATGCTGTGGATAGGTAAGGTTACCAATGAAGAGCCATCTTTTTACTGTCACAACGGCAGTAAAAAGTAAACCTACAAAACGTCAACAGAAAATGAGAAGCGTAACACTGATGCATAGGAGGAATATCTAGACAATGGAGAGGAATGTTCAGACAGTAATTATGTTGTCTACAAATTACCAATATCAAACTGAAAACTGATTTTCTAGTTCCACTGACCTAGTAAGTCTTCTCTAATGATTCTTTCGTCAAGTGAAATTTTCAAAGCGGTATTTAAGTCATGACGGCAAAATCTGTGTCGTGTTCAGGTTTTAGAGGAGAAAGTTATTAGTGAATGACAAAGTAACTCTCACACACTTTCTGCTAGTAAAAATGTTTTTAAAAATGAGGATGGAATTATTGTGGTCAGATGAGAACTGGTATAGAAATATTTCTGACTAAAATCGTTTTATTCCACTATGTTACAGTCCAAGGCGAAGTCTAATTACACATGTATAATATCTTTGGATTGTTCATTTACAAATTGCAAATCACTTAATTAAGGGCGTAGAATCAAGTCCACAATGGGGGGAGGTTTGTATTCGTCCCCACACGTGGAAAATTGGTAAAGTGGACCACTGTTAACGTTGTATTACAGCTATATTCCGCATTATAACCCTCGTTTCAACAGCTCTGCTATGAAGTCTTGTAACTGCGTGGCTGGCTCTTCTGTACGATTTGGTATACAAAGTGACATATGGAACAGACAATCTGATTAAGTGATGCAGTTAGTGTAGGAATAATCTGTTACACCGATTTCTTCCATCAGGAACAGAAATGACCCCGTGGGTCTCCATTGCAATGTTGGACCGTTATCAGCGTTCGGATAAATCCAGTAGTGCTTACGCTGATACACTATTGTTTGTTATGCCACGGTCATAGAGAGTGAATTTTTATTGGTCGCGAATTGATCACGTGATGTGCTACAAGCAAACATGTATGGTCCTTTCTTTATATTTATGCAAATTTTATTCGCGGCAACTGAAAACGAGGCTGTAGGGGACTCGTATGTCACGATGGCTGCAAACAGAAGGGATCTTCCGTGGTTCCCAAGATAACCTTCGGGTTTGTGGAGGATTACGTCAAAAAGGGCTCCAAAAGCAGTGGAGAGCAATAATTTGGTAAAGGCTTCACGTATTTTTCAGAAGCCTACATTCATAATCTGAAGAATAAGCAGTTTATTAATGGGATTTTATCTGGGACCTTTTGTTGACGTTGCATGCATGCACCATTTATGTCTAGGCCTAAACGGCCGGTTGTCGCCACGATCGAGCAGTGTGAAGACTTTTTTGTCATTCAGCGGTTTACCTTTAACGACTGGGATGTTTCCTTTCGAAGTTCAAAATAAACCTTTTCGACGTTCGCATTGAAAAGGTTTATTCTATAGATGCTAATTCGAAAATTACAGACGTTATTTCATTTATGCTGGGCGCAATCAATCACGGAGGACGAAGGAAAAGACTGGATCAATCGAACTGCTCCAAAGTGCAATAACGTGTACGGTGTAGGGGCAGTGATTATGATTTTTTATACGAACAACTTAAGTGCCCAAAGAAGTCGTTTCAAAGTCAAAATCTACCTTGAATAGTGTCCCCTCGTCTCGTTTGATCTTAACAATCAAGTTTTTCCGTAGGATATTGTTCTTTGGAAATCGATGAAAGCTAATTTCTGGCGATGGTCTTCGTTCGTGATTCCTACAACAGGGCACTGAACAACGCTTCGTCATGGTCGCCAGCTCCGTGGAGTCCCTTATAGCCTCGTTTTCAGTTCCGTTGCGTAAAATTTCCATAAATATTAAGAAAGGCGATGGATAAATGTAATCTTTCCCAAAGCTGATGTGTCGTGTCTACTGCGTTGTAATTGTGTAATCTTGAGTATGAAGGTTGATAGCCGCGGTCGTACTACGCGCCAATGATTGTCGATGTGCTCTGTGTGGGGACACTGAAACACTCTTTGTTCGCATGTGCTATTCTCTCCACTCTGACCATGACAAATACTTACGAGTTTCTGTTCGGGCATCCAGCTCTGCTCGTGGAATACGAGTATGCTCTGATCACTGTTTCTGCTGCAATCGCCATAGTTGTTTATATAGAATGCTAATATCGTCTCCCTTCGTCTGTTCTATAATCTTGTCAATACTTTTCAAAGGAATGTGGTGTAAATAATGTCTTGAAATTCAAGCAGTCGAGAAAAACCCAGTGCTTTATCGGAAGGTGTATCTGTTAAAACAGTTTTTTATAAGTCAAAGACTTCTTTAGCCCCCCCGGAAAAAAGGATATCATAATCAATAATTTTTTTTTAAATTTAATATCTAATTCACTGTTCACGTGTTTCAATTAGTCAAAGGTAATAATTTCTCTTGCAGTAACATATGCACACATTACTCATGAAAGACTGTTCTAGTGAAATTTATGACTGTGGTAAACCAAAACAATTGTTGGCTGCAGTGACAGAATCCATGGAGGCAAATTCGCCTCGAGTGTCATTTGCCCCCTCAGGTGTACAAAACGCCATGGACCCCTACACCGCAGGCAACAATTATTTAGTGTACGCATGTATCATCTCATTTCAATTAGTTAAAATGTGCATGCACATAGTGTGCATATTCAAATAGGTCATTTCTAACAAGGATTTCAGTATCAGCAGTGGCCTATATAACTACCTCATCGGAACTCCATGTCCCAGGTTCCCCCATCAAGTTTGAAATTTCAAAATGTACGCAGCCTATGTGTATACAAGCAGCAATACATTTGTTTTTCATGCCCCCGTGAAATAATGTGTGCCTCCAAGAAATTTCATCCTAATTATGTATCAGAACATTGCTGCTTCGTCAATTCAATTCCAAACTTTAAGCCTACAAGAAGTTGCAATTGAAATTTTAAAAATACGTTTTCCATTTGAGCATTCGAAGCTTGATTAACAAAGTGTTACTGCTACGTTGTTAGAATAATGACTGTGGTATTCTGTTTTGACAGGATTGAGGGAGGCTCCTTTTGTCAAGTCCATGGTATGGGTCGATGGATCACAGTTCACCTCCACAGATGTTTTGGCTTCATTCATGCCACAAACTCTCTCCAGCGGTATCTCCTCATCTTCATCGACCCTGTTTAAGCAGGCCTGTGTTGCCGTTAACTTGACTAATGGAACCCTAGAGTTAAGGGACTGTTCCGAGCCCTTGGATTCTCTGTGTAAAACTCGCTGTGAGTATGAAGACTGTTTGAATGTTAGTCCTCTGGGGCTTTTAGCTATACTATACAAAAAGAGTCTAAGACGTAAGTAGCTTGAAACAATTACAGAAATTTTACTTATATGTATATTTTTTGTCGGCTGATGAGTGTACATTAGTAGTTATGCATGGTGATAAATCATTTTTCTTCATCAGTGATTCGAAATTTGTGGTTTAAGTCTTTCAACCAAGTTACTGCGACCAGTAAATTCCTGTCTTTTATCGCGGCACCCTCATAGCACTTGATAGCGTGCTGTTCAATTTATCACCGCCCGAAAGGATTGCGTTTACTGACTTGTTTTATCAGGGCTTACATTTTTCCTTAGATTTTTTCACGAAATTTGGTAGCAGAATCAACATTCAGCGGTGAAGACACAATCTTGTTTCGACTATGCAGTGTGATAGTATATAAACTGTCTGCACATTTGCATTCATGCACAAGGTGAAAAAAATTGCACATTTGAATCATTGCCACTGTTATTCCGAACGAGGCCTTTAAAAACCAGCCAATAAAGGCGTTCGCGGCAGCAGGCTATGAATCGCAACCTTTTTCTTTCTTTTGTGGCTTTTTGGGAAACACAGAATACGAAGACGATTTATACAGTAGTAATATTTCCAGAAATTAACGAATATAGGCCTGTCTGAAAATCATCTAAAAAGGGTTCGAAAATATAACAGGACAGTTTTGAATTTATGGAAATGGAAGGAGTTACAGTTCGAATGCTGAACGAAAGCAGATAAACGATTCGCCTGATACAAGATGTAATCAGTATGGTATCATGCAGAAATACAAAATGTCATATCACAGCTTCTTGACAACGATCTATTGCCACACCCACTAAGGAAGATACAATATGACCCCCGTCCAAACTTGCTCTCAGGCAAAACTGTACATGAAGAAAATAGTGCCTCTCTGCTATGTTCCGCTGCACCTGTCCCGTTCCACCCATTTCCCCCCCAACTGCATTTGCTTGGCTGAAAGGGCAGGAAACAAGGACACCCCCTCATACCTCGTCAAAACTTCCGAGTGATCGTTCTCATGAATTGGACAGGTCCGGCTGGCAAGAACTCCTACGGTCTGGGGTTAGCCAAATTTGTTGCAGAATGGCCGACTCAGAACAGAGGTACGATGACTTCTGTATGCAAAGAACAAGCCGTGAAGCCCCCAGCCGACAGACCATTTGGCGATATAATAAGACATACGCCCTAAGGGTATTTGACAAGAAACTGGACAATGTCGGTAAGTGGAGAAGTCGTAACGTTCCCCTCCTTTGAAAATGATATGCCTTTTCTTCCAGCCCAGTGTCCACGAGGTTTTGTTCTTGACTTCAGTGGCAACTGCTACCGATATGTGACCCAGCGGCCGGTACCGTGGAGCATGGCCCGTGCTGAATGTCGGAGAGCACCGGGTGGAGACCTAGCTGTGACCAACGAGGAACCAAGGAAAGAAAGTCAGTTACTCCTGGAGAGGGTTCAACCTAGAGTAACAGATCTTTGGATAGGTAAATGATACCGTTAGGTGTAGCTTTTTGGCGAATTTAAAGTGGTTTTTATTAATTATATTTAAAAAATTTTAACTTTTTAAACAATATGCAGAATGTAAAAGTTGTCGTTTTAATTAAATAATGGGAGAACAAAAAACATTTTTTGGCAAAACAGCCCCACCCTGAGAGGTATTTCATTAACCTAGACACTTTGCATATTATCAGTGGCGTACATTTCAGGAGACATCGTCGCGCGCTGCTAGCGTGTCAATGCTTGCTTGTGTCGAGCTCGGAAAATTCAGTTCTATTTTGGGGTGAGTTTAGAGATCATGCCGACCAGATTTGTTGCTGCAGCCTGCGAGCATTTCGCGGGCACGGCAATTGTGCCTGTCCAATGTCCTCGCCGTTCCAGACGTCCTAAAGGGTGCCTGACTATTATTGTGGGTTCTCAAAACGCATAACGCCATCATTTGTCAGGATTAAAACGTTCATTTTAGGGGTCACTAAAACTAACCACAACAAAGGGAATTTTATTCCATTTTCACATCCCCTATCGTGTTACTGGCATACCAGTTAATATTTTTAACGATGAAAATAAGGCATTATGTCTTTGAAAAGTGTGTGCCAGTTGTCGTGGAGTACTCAAGAAATTTGATTCAAACTAGGAAAATTATTTAGTAATTTTTGGAAATTAATCTCGTCATGTCCGCTTTTACTGGCGCAATGGATTTTATCCAGTTATTGACCTATTATACTGCTATGATAGATTTCTTCTCAACTGTCGTGGAGTCTCTACAGTAGGTGGATGAGGTCTGATTGCCAAGCAACATTATTTGTGGCCTTTTTTTCTCTTTTGCTTTTTTTGGGGGGGGGGCTCATTAGTCTATAATGGGGCTTCCGTTTCACATTTTCACGTTAGTTTATTGGTAAGATTTACACTATACGCAACTTATTTGTAGCGAAGGCAAATTAATACCATTAGGCAACTTGCATATTCACGAGACAGTGCCTTTGATCACTGTTATCAGGATTATACCACGAGACGCCCTCTGGCGTCTGGAAATGGGTAGACGGTTCAACACTGACGAACGATGTATGGAGGCCTGGAGAACCGACCAACCTTAGCGGCCGTAAAAAATGTGCAGAGATCGACTCTGGTGCACGCTGGAGCAACAAGGATTGCAATCGAAACTTTTCTTACGTTTGCGAAATACAGGAAAGTAAGTTTGTTTTCTTGTTGTAAATTGTCATTATGTTTTTGACTGGAGAAAGTAAAAAATAAAGAAAAACTTAACACAATTAGAAGTTGGATAAAATTTTTATCCAGGAGGGTAAATTGTCTCCACGCTTTTTGAACTACCCAAAAATCCATTTTTTTAGCAAAATTTGACATTGCTCACTATGCTCAGTAATGTCAATATTGCCGAGCAATGTTTCAGTACATTGTACAAAAAGAATATGCATGCTTATCGACGTTTCATTCCATTTGTCCAATTGCTGATAGACAGCGAATGTTTTACGAGGACTGACGGTAGAGACTACAAAGGTCATGTAAACATCACTGCTGCCGGTGGCAAATGCTCCGATTGGAATCGAGATTCCATGAGCGCCCTCAACCTCGACCCCATCTCGGACACTGAATGGCTAGCTCTGGAAGGCCATAATTACTGCCGTAATCCAGGCGGTCTAAGAGACTCAACCTGGTGCATAGAAAACCAAAGTGAGGGGTCAGTGACCTGGAAACCTTGTTATATAGGCGAGCCACAAGTCTCGTGCATTAAAGGTATTTGTAATGACTTGTCAATAAAAAATACATGTACATGTATCATAGAATCACCGTGGTCTACTCATTCAGGTCAAAGCATTATATCTTTCTCTTTTTATCTTTTACAGTGATAGGGCCTATACCAAATGGTGTGAGACATTATTTTAATAATGCTTCACACCATTTAGTGTATCACTGGAAAAGAATTCCCGTAAATTTACGGGAGATTACCTGGCAGTTGTCGGCGTCAATGATTTCCTGTAAACGTACGGTCACCGTAATTACAGACCTCAAGGGCGAGTTATACGAATTTTGCGGCAAACCGTTATCTTTAATACTCTTTTTTGCCCGAACCTTTACGGGAAATTGTTGGTTCCCATAGCTACCAGGTAATTTCAAGTAAATTTACCGGAAAAAGGTCTAAACATTACGCTTTTAATTAAATTAAACAGCAATTTTCCAAACTGCCTTTTAATCAGTGTTTCTCATACAGTCAGAACGATAATTACAAATAATTATTTTGTGGCAACGAGGGTGGTTAAAAAAGTGACGGGTGTTGCCCATCAGCTACGAAACGTGGAGCGTCATTCAGCACTTAATTGCATTTTCCTTTCTTTTCGTTTTAATTTTGATTTGATTTTTTTCTTTCATTGTTTGTCCACATCTGTGGGTTTCCTTGACAGGGAACCAGCCAACACCTCGCAGTTTTGCTACGCCCTGCACAGACCGGCGCCCTTGCGACCGTGGTCACACATGCCATCCGGTTATACGGGAGTGTATCTGCCCAAGTGGCTACCAAGGAGATTTCTGCCGTGAGAGATGCAATCCTGGTAAGTTCGGCTATAACTGTGACGCCAATTGTCCACCGTGCCCAGGAGAAGAACCTTGCCACTATGTGACAGGCGAGTGTACACTCAAGGAAGAAGGTGATATCACCAATCCACCAGGCGGCAAACCCACAGTACCATGCGGAGGGATATGTAGTGTAGCCGTGAGAGTCGGCTGTATCTGCGACAGCACTGATGGCTCTTGTCCCTGTCCTGGTGAGTAGTCATCAATCCTCAAACTGTAGCCATCCATCAACACTTCAGAATGAAATTGGTGTATAAGACTACATAAAATAAAGTAATTCCGCTTAGATTGTTTTGTATTGCAGGTGTGGGGTAATGTGGGCGCCCTCGATAAAGCAAGTTTGCTTTATCGCGCCTTCTCACAAATTGGTTCCACTCCGTTTTCAGTATATCTGTCATTACCTCATGTTTTGTGTTACACTTTCAAGCGTATTTTCCGTAAAGAGACTCAAGCAGCATTCTCAAATTAGGCCCGATAATAATTTGTACAATACAGAAACACTTAAGCGCAACTAACGCAAACAGTGGTGGTAAGGCAGTCAGCGAACTTGGATCACGTTCAACTTCGCCAACTACTTCCGTCGATCGTGGAGATCAAATATAAACGCGCACGCTGACATGGCTACAGAGTCTTCTTTCGCTTAAATTCCGCCCAATTGGTGTATTTTCTCCTTATGACTATGAAAAAAGATGTTAACAAAATAGCTGATCGTAAATGAAATACACGGAATGGAAGTATCCGTTTAACTTTAAGAAATAGTCAAAGCACCAAACGATTTTCACACGAATTTTTTTGAACGCCATTTTGTTTCAATTTGGGAGTATGATGTCACACACCATGAACCATCTTGTGTCTGGACTTCTTGCGTGCTGTCCGCTATCGTTCCAACCAAATGGAATCTATTGGCTAAAGACCGCTTCATACTTCAGGAGAATGCAAAGACGGCACGGAATTGACGTCACGAAAAAATTGGGGCGAAATTTCGCCTGAGTTGATTGTGTTCAACTTGTTGCGAATAAGTAGTGCGAAATTTGATCTGCTGTGACAATTTCGTGCCAAGTATGAACCGACCTTTAAGAGGGAGATTAAGGCGGAAGATTATGTCATAGTATCTGTCAATTTTAAGGTGAAGTAAACGTGCATTTATAATTTTGAGATTCTTATTTCCCTTATACCTGGAGCTGTAATTATGGACTCGTAACCCTTATTTAGAGGTTGGGCCACTGCATGTCTGCCGGTCTCAAGGGCCTTCCGTCTCGCCCAAATCTAATAGTTTAAACCCGTCTAATTTTACTACTTTGTTCAGCGTACGTGGTTGCTGTACTCGCCCTCTTCATAGCTATCTGGGTCGTGCTGGGGTTTGCTTGTCTGGCCTGTGGCATCATTCGAAGACGCAGAAACCTCACAAGGGTTGAGTACAAGCGGTAAGTGCTCATGGAGGGGTGTGACGTCAATGACTGCCAATCCCGACCAATAGGAATTAAGTTGGTTAGGGCTCTTTGCTGCAGGTTAAACCTAAGAGTGTATGAATTAGGGATATAGGTCCACCAATGTTCTCTGTCATTAGTATAGAGAGGTGAATTCCTATCGATTACAAAATCTATGTTTAGGCAGTCTTTTCATTGCACTTAAGCCACTTATCAAAGTTCCGGTCACTATGGACTAACGTGCCGAATTTCTAATCAGAGATCGTGGGCTTATATCCCCATGACGTACAAATTAAAAGGAAGCCAAACCTTTATTATTTGGGTCCAGTGAAACAGACTATGTTGGAAAGTCTGAAGTGTTGATGTTTTGAATTCCATGAGAAATGTACCAACTAATGAACATTTTCACTTCTCAATACAATGTATTTGACAGTGATCAAAACAGTGCAGATCCCTACATAATTTTAAGTCTTCACGCGCCTCCAGGGTGCAGTATGGATACGCCATGCCACATGTTGCCCATATTAGACGTGGGGCTGTGCAAATTTGTGGCTCGTTGCACATTGTAATAGGCTGCACACATACTATTTACTTCACCGTAGCCGTCCGACAATTTTTTGAGGTACAGGTGTGCATACTTTTGATTTATCTACATGCATAAGGGATAGCACATCAAATTGCAAATACATCTACGGATCCTGGCAGGTTTTTCTTCTTTCTTGCTGCCGCTATTGCTGAGAACTGATGCTTCGGAAGTGTATGTTTGCATTCAATTTCTGCCACTGTTAGTGATCCTGTGGCGCATTTGTTCGTCAGCACTCACTTAGTAAACAGCTGATTTTTGTGCGCAGACTTGATCGAAAGCTTTCCGCGAAAGGGAAAGAAACGAAGGGATCGTATTCAATATCACGACCGTATCTATGTCCTAATATCGCCAGTGTACCGAGAGGTATAGTCAATATATGCATGGGATACAAGGTAGCACAAGATGACCTTTTTTGGATTAAAAGGCCAAACTTGATTTTGTTCGGGGTCCACAAAATTCGGAAATATTTCATGTAACCTTTTATGGCCATTCTGAGGGATGAGGCTCCGCTTGTGCTTTTCATACAGTTTTTTGAAAGAAGGAAAATAAAATAGACCGAATCGTCTTTCTTTCATAATTTCTTTTCAAAAATAAAATTATCTCCTTTTTGAGGACACATTGGCCCCTGCTTTTTATCCTTCATGCCTCATTTATATCTTTTTGTTGCCGGTAAAAATGATGAACTGTAAAAGTGGTGCAAGTTGATGGTCAAACGTGACTGGACCTTAGAAAATGAGTCCTAGGGTCATTTTCCATCAATTTTATTCTATTCCGTCAAACCGAATTCATTCCTTAGATGCATCGCTTAGCCTGGAATCCTGATGAAACTGGAGACGTGTGTAATAAAAATGTTGCGGCTTTCATTGATTTCCATTGAGCAAGATTCTTTTCAATGACCCAAAATAGGCGTTGTCTACTTCCGGCTCATTTGTTGGGTTGGGTCACCTATTAAGCTCATGTGACTGTAACAGGGAAATACGCCTGCAGGTATGGTCGTGAAGTGGTCCACATCAGTCCTATCAAGCTTAATTAACGTTTTGCTTGAGAAAGAAGCAGGGGAAAAATGTAATGCGGCTCAGATCCAGCAAGGTTACCTGAAATTGGCCGCCATGAATTAATCGAACATCACCTATGCCTCACGTTTTGTTTAGTTAGTTTCGAACACAGAACACAGAATTTTTCAGTTTCTATAAATTAATATGCTAGCAGACATCTTACGAAAGGCCTTTTTTATGAATTGAGATTTAAGAATTTACGGAGAGAAAAATTATTACAAATTCTTGTTACATTTAATTGACACCAAGTTATAGAGTCTGAAAGTTGCCCCCTGATGGCGGGTTCCCGGAACCACTGGATATTAAAAATAACGTGCAAAACTTTTAGAATTTGTAATAATTTTTCTTTCCGTTACTTCTTAAATCTCAATTCATAAAAGAGGCCTTTTGTAAGATGTTTGCTGGCATATTAATTTATAGAAACTGAAAAATTACCCAACCTAAGAGAGAAATATTCTGCTAAAATTGACCTATCACTTCAATTTAACCCTATGAATCCCCCTCCCTGCGACATTTTTCCGATATCGCTGCAGTGAATTTTTTGAGGAGTTGAGCCTTTAGGAGTTTTACAGTAACTCTTTTGGGACATTTTGACTCCATTTTTGCAAAAATCTATCAGACTCTTCTCGCGAAGCGCGTATTTTTCCCGAGAGGGGTCAGCCAAAAATGTTTTTGTCAGTGCTGTACTCAATGCATACGTACTGGAACGAATGTAGCCGTGAACTTCAAATGACCGTTACAACAAAACCGTATGTTCGATTAAGTTCAAACCTCACATTCGTACTGTTAAGGAGTGTCTGTTCACGTACGGAAAGTCTTTAAAAACATCGGGTGTGGCGCACAGCCAAGTTCGGGGGGGGGGGGCGGAGGAATACGCCCCCAGCTGTGAGATGGGCCAAAATTACCCGGCTTTTTTAGGGTTAAAATACATGAAGAACAGTCCAATGTGGTAAAGATGAACATTTACGGAGTTACATTCTATAGTGGTCTTTTGGTAAAAGCGAAATTAAAACTGCCAAAATATTTAAGCATTTTAGAATTTATGAGGACGTGAACTTAAAACAAATAATCTGCTGTTATATAAGATTCTAGTCTAACCTTTGGTGACAAGAACTGGGTCAGGTCAACTTGACTGAATTTAGAATCCATCGACTGTAAGTAGGTAAATCTTTGCAACGTTGTACAATCTCGGTTTCACTTAAGCGCAGGAAATAAAAACAAAGGTGCTCGAACAAGGAGACCTAGAAAAGATATTGCCGAAAGTGAAAGGTCGTCAGTGAAATTAGGTGACTTTTCCCAAATATTGCTTGAGCAGGAAAAAGGAAAAAGTCCGACATGAGTGTTTCTTGGGTTGGTTTATTTAGAAATCATTCTTCCAAAAATTATCGAACGTGACAGAACGGCCAAATGTAAAATCCCCATAGATAACTAGACGGACCGCGCAATAACAACTATTTTTACCCATCTATAAGGGAGGTGCTTATTGTTTTTCTCATACTGACAGCGATTCTGACTACTGCGAAGAAATTGGTACCGATTCCGACACTGATGACGGATTGGAAAACCAACAGATTTCTGGTGAGACATTGTTTGGTATTTTGTATCAATACCTGTTCTCAGAGGTATGTGTAAGTGGGGGGGGGTGGCATCCCCCGAATAATTAATTCCAGTCGGCAAATAGAGTTCCGGTCGGCAAATGAATCCATATTGGTCAGTGATGTAAATTTGTTCCGGAAATTGGGA